GTTTTGGTAATCTAATTTTTGCAACGATAGAAAAACAAAACTCACGAATTTTCAGTTTACTAAAATTATTGACAATCAGATCACTAGGGTTAATTTAATTAAGTACATAAAATAAATAGTGAAGAAATATCGTTGTTTTGTGCTCCTATTTACCAACAGATTATTATTATTATTCAAACAAAACGGATTTTCAATTGCATTTTTTTAATTAGGTTTATTTTAAACATTTGAAATGTCTTCCACTATGACATAAAAACAAAATAAGTCTGAAAGCAGACATTGGATCGTTTATTAGCTTTTAACCTTTGTCAAAGTTATAAATTCTTCGGCATATTGTATGGAATCCGACAACCAGATGTTCAATACTGAAGGTTTAGAGCAAAAAATTTACATGATTTTAAATGTTAATTAATTTTTTTTAGAATATTTAGGGCCAGCTTATGGAATATTTTAATTGTGATTAAGTTAATCACGCGTTTGAGGTGTTTAGCGAGATCCAATTGGCATAGGGTCGGTCACGTTGTACGCTAACACCTTAAAAATGTAATCGCAAATATTTAATTGAGCTTTCGTAAATCGGCGTTTAGTTTTTAAAAGTAATAGGTAAATTCGTAAGATATTAATAAGAATACGATAACGCCAGGATACAAAATTCAAAAATATAGAACTAAGTATTGTCAATTTCATCACTGACTAGGTTAAAGAAGAAACTAAAACTTTTCGAAACTAACACCAGAATGTTTAGGTTTTTTTTATTATATAACATTAGTCAACCAGATGTTAATAATAAAATAATGCAACAGAAATGATTTATATTTGTCTTTTGGGGTCAAAATTTGAAAACCACATACAAGCTTTAGATAAATAAATACCTACTATATATTTCTTTTACATGGTACAATACATAGAATAAGTCACCAAGCACGTGCTCCTCGATTATTCATTAGTTGTTAAAAATAGAAAAAAAAGTACTAAAATTATTTGCAACTATACAGAGTGTTCGATTTTTGATTCGTAACATACAACTTAGTTTTGTCAAATAGATCAGCCTATATATATTTTTACATATTCTGATTGATTCCATCTTTAGTTTTACAACCATTGTTTATTTTCCAAAATTACTGTGCGATTGCCACGTTATTCCAATTTTCTTTCAATTTTTAAATAATGCAAGCAGTTTAGTTCCTTCGTCCATTATATACATTTAAGAAGTACAATTTGCTTCAACCGAAAGTAACATTGTTTGGTCATTAATGAAACATAATGTGGCGAGTAGCTATCGCAAATCGAAAATTACAGACATGTTTCTGAGAGTACTTATTACGCTATCAATTTGTTGCATTATTTATTGAACAAAATATTTCTACTTTTCTTTGAATTAACACATAATAAGTTGCAATATGTCAATTCAAATATTTCAAGCAAATCTTGTATTATTACTGTAGTGCTTCCAAAATCCGTACTGTATATAGTTTCTAAGTTGCGTCATAAGAACAGCTTCAGCTACCATTAAAATTATAGTTATAGGTTTTAAGTAATAAACGATAACTGTAACATACGTCCGGATATTCCATCATAACCACTTATGGATGGTTTAAGCTTTAAATATGTAATATGTTCTTTGATTTCGTCTTCACTGAGGGGCTGGTAAACACTGAAAATAATTACTAGAAGAAAATTTTACACGTTCAAGGTACTATCGAAACTTCGATGTACAAGAAACTTTCGGATTAGAGTTTAGAATAATCTTAATAAAATTATATAGTCCGACCCTCCGATCATTCTTTCGTCATACTGATGTAAGTACCGTTTTGGGCCTTCTGCCCGTTTTTGAACTGCCTAAGAATCGTCGCCCCCGAGCAAAAAAAAAATGTACCCCGGCCGCTCCCCTTCCATGGCGCCGTACAATCCCCGCGCGATTTCCCGTTCCAGGGTCGCCGGGTCGCCGCTCCCAAGACCAGGAGGAGCCCGTCCCGAAGGAAGTCGCTGTCTTCAGACGGCAACGACCGTGCCGGATATTTTGTCCTTTTTTGTTAACCGTATTGTAATTTTATTTTTAAAATTATCCGTAAGATTATTTAACCGTGTGTCTCCTAGAAAGGAATAAAAACCCGATTCCCCCGTCTTATTTCTTGTTTCCGAGGGCGCTCACGAGACCACCTGGACATCCGTGTCTCCGGCTATAAAGCCACCCCAGTACTCCCTTCCGCTTCCGACCTAAGGCACCACCCCCAGTAGCATGAAGGTGACCTCATAGCCTAGGTTGGCGGACGTGTTTGTTTTCAACGGCACTAATCGGTCCAGGGTTTAGCCGTCACCGTCCGCGCCCGGAGTTTCGTCGCAATTTTTAGATTTGTTATTAAAAGTAATCAGTGGAGTCTGAGTATCGAAAAAAATTATTAAGTATTTATTTAAGTAATCAACTTTAGCATCACTGTCAGCCATTGTGTAAATACTTCTAAAATCAACATTTATTGCACTTCTCTCGACACCCTTCAGTTTAAGATTTTATTCTTAAAATTGTGTAAGTATAGCATGTAAACTTCAAGTGTTTTAGATTATAGCACCAACGATCTCAAAGTTTTAAAATTATCTTAATTAACAGAAAATTTTATTTTGGTGTACCTACGTTTTCGACGTTCAGTTTTTTATTCGGTTCATTTGTTCAGTGATATCTAAGTTAAAGGATCATGTAAATCCTCGGATAAGCATAACTTTGAAATATAAAATCACCTAAAATAATTCAACCAGAACAAATATATGAAAAACATGATAATTTCCACTACGATAAAAATAGTACAAAAACTAGAGAAAATTTTAACTACAAGGTGATCAAGAAGTTAAAAAAGATAACGATACAATAATATCGATTTTCTGAATCATAGGTACATACATACAGTATCGTAAATGTTAATATTATCACAGATAAGTGTATTGCAGAAAGAAGCTTTCATGGGGTAAGTTACGACCAGTAGAACTCCCCCATTTCTGGAAATATTCGATAATTTGCGAAAACTGTCTTTCCAAAAAACTTGATATCGACTGTCCGTTCCTCTTCGGATTTACAGCATAGAAAACAATGTAAGCAATGCATTTTTCCGGGAGAATTAGCCACGATGTTGTTGTTGTCAGTTATCAAAAACCTACCGATTTCTAAAAAAGTTGATACCTACATTAATCTTATACAATTTATGATACAGTTTTTGTCATTCCGCATCTACTCGTGCATAATTATAAAATTAATAATTTCATAATTTTAAAGTTGCGTTTTTTGGTCCTTTATCACGTTTTATTTTAAAAACTATTCAAAATTTTGTCACACTTACTTAAGACTAATATAACCAAACACTACTGATTCTAACAATGCAATTTTGACAGTACTATTCTCTTCCAGTTTCTTCCTTCTTCCAAAAAATCTTTATTTATTAGTTGCATAAAAGGTGTAATAAAATTTTCAACATGGGAGGTTTTTAGTTCCCTAACACAAGCTGAAAAAGTATTGTAATTGAGTGCATCGGGGGACTGGCAACTTTCATATTTTCTCAACGTTTCATGACCCCTAGAGTACGAAAAAATAGGTCTCAAGTTTTCGTTTGTCTGCCTATCTGTCTGCCGTCTGCCCGCGTTTTGGAAAGACAGATAATCTCCGAAATTACCGGACCGATTGTTATCAAATTTTATATGTATATTAGGAATATCGTGTGGATGATAAAACGCTAACCAAAATTTGACTAATCGTCCCCACCAACAATAATATGACATCACCTCTAAAATTTACTGTAGTAAATGTTCTTTAAATTTTATAGAATAACGTACTCCTTGTATATGTAATTTATGTATCATCCTTGTTCAGTTTTTAACCTAGACATCTAGATTTTTGAGAAAAAAAAAATAAAAATTGTATAACAATATTTTACAATTTAACTTTGAAAATGCAAAAACCGAATGCTGTGAAATCTTGCAAACGTTTTAAGGTTATCGGAAGCATGGTAAATCGTTAATTAAAATTTCTCCGTGTATGCCCCCCCCCCCATTTCAGTTTTTTTTAACACAAATTCCGGAGCTAATACTGTTTATACGTACTACGTTAAACAAGTACTGAAAAATTTAAAATGAATTTTTGCCGTTGGTTAGCTGCTTTAAACAAGTACATTGTATATTGTCCGCACTTGTGCGGACCGCGCTCCCTTGAAATTTGCGCCCCGCGCCGCAAGGGCTGTGAGATGTTATTTATACCACTGGTTCTTACTTTATACAAGTTGTCACAAAACAAAAATCACAAAATCAAATTTAATAATTTATACTAATTGAAAGTTCTGTCGAAATAGCCTAGAGACCAATTTTTTATGGTGGCCTGGTTACCAGATAATCATTTAAAAAACTCTACCAATGAAGTATCATCAAAGAGTACTTTATGTTGTGCAAAAATACTGTTTAAAAAATAACTAAATGACACTAGAAATGTAACATCGAGAAGTAAAGATTTACTTATGTTAAAAAATGTTTGAAAATGTAGTTGCATTCGTGCTAAAATTAATAATTATAATTAATATAAAATAACATTAGTGATCCCTGAAGAAGTAATGTGAATTGATAAACAAACTGAGAAATGTTAACAAACTAAAAGTTACTCACTGTTTTCTTCTAATTAAATTTTCAAAAATCACGCTACACCGCCACCGCCAATGGAATACTCGTTGTGTATGTCTAAACATGTTTAACAAATTCATCACTAGTACCTTTCATGAACCTCTCTTATATAATTCATTGTAAATTGTATCACAAATTATAAAAAATATCCGGATGTTACACTCATAACAGTCGTACCAAAATTAGCATGCAACAATTTTTGGCTACACCCAGTAACATGAACACCAAAGTGAAAATAACGTTTTACACCGAATACGTGCGGCAATTGCATGTTCTTTCTACCTTAAAAAAGCAAACCACGTTCTATGTAAATTTCTAAAATTGCAATAATTCATAGTTATTTTCAACAGGTGTTTTGATTTCGATATACTAAGGAAACATGGAGTGTGTTAAAACTAAGTATTACACGCTTTGTGGAGATGTCCTACGTTATTTAATAATTATTTAAAAAATGTATAAAAGCAAACGTAAGGAATTTTAAAGCGAGTATTTGCACGAATATTGACAACTGCACATCTATAAAATGAAGATCATAGTAAGTTAAACGAGTTAAGGTACCGATTAAAAACTAAAAAATAATTCAAACTTTCAGATTTTTATAATAATTGGAGGACTGCTACTGACAATGATGGCAGAAGCCACTTTCCACAGAAAATTTAAGTATGGTAAAAAATTTCATTCCACACCCATCGTACATGAAGACATCCACTTCGATAATCATCTATCATCATTACCATCGCTACCGTCACTTCCATTGCACAGCAGTTTCAGCATATACGACCACTATCCTTTTCACTTTTTTAGTGACTTTAGCGGGCATAATTTTTGGTAGACTCATTACTTTTTATAAAAATTAAAATAAACTGTAAAATCACTCCGACTTTTGTCATTATTTTCCGTTCAATCACGACGTAAAACAAAGAGAAAGCCAATCTGCAAAGGAATTTAATTTGCGACATTTACCAATTCATCCGGTGTCAGGAAATACCGCATCGATTTTTATAACTCACACAATTACTAGTTGCATTATTGTTCGCTGCATTTAATTCCTTTCTTATTGCAACAAAGAATTCACATACCTTTTCTCTTAACTTTTCATTTCTTAGGTATTGCTGGAGAAGAACGATACAGGTGGAGAGATTGTGATCGGTTTCCTGAAAAAAAAACAACCACAACGAAACTCTTTGAACTTTGAATATTTTATGCGTAGTAATACTTTTAGTTTTTCCAACAAGACACAGAGCTTCTCTTCAATTGTAGCCATTCTTGTTAACTGTCGCGTGTCATCCTGATATCGATTATTTCATAAATTAGATTCATAAGCTCAACATGCGATCTCAAAAGTTTTCGGTCACGAAAACAAAATCTGCGTTAAAAGATTATTGAACTGGTTCAGTGCAACCATTGCAACAATAATAGAATTCAAAATGTCGGATACACATTTTTTTTTATCTGTATTTTTTGTGTACCACATAATCTGCTGTTGCGATATTATTTGCAAAACATGTTTAATATTATTTCTAGTAATTGTGACAATTTTAGTGGCTAATAAAGGTGTGGCAAAAGATAGTTTGCGCAAATTAGGAGTAAAACTTTTTTATTTTATTCGAACCGTACGAATTTATTTTGCATAATTTCGAAACTGACAGGAAACCCAAAACTACGTGGGCCTAAGGCATTTTGTTGTTTGCTTATCTAGATTAACAGAAATGGAAGATTTTTAAAACTGCTTAAGTAATAAATTGAATGATGTTCAAATACCAAAAAGAGTGGATTATGTATAACAAATACTTTAAATTTACAACCTTACAAATACAAGACAGACTTGTATAATTTATATAATAAAATTTTGCAGTTAGGTTAAAAATTACACAACCGATTGCGCTGAAATTTTGCACATGCTTTTAGGTCAACTGTTGGATTGCACGTACTCTGCACATGTTTTTTTGGTTTTTCACAAAGACTATTTTTTTCTGATTAAAAAAGTGCTTTCCAGATACGTTCGGATTATGAACTTCGTTTTCAAAAATGATGTTACTCTGTTTATCCCTTCCTAAATTTAATGACGTCAAAATTTTCATAAATTATTAATCCTGTTTAAAGTGTGCCAAATCATGTGTGTTTATACCTTCTGCTTGCAGCATTTGTTAAAAAAATTACACGTGAACTTAGAAACAATGAAATCGATTGCAGTGAAAGTTTGTAAACCGTTTAAGGTTCTCATGAACATGATAAATCGCTCATTAGAATTCATCTGTTCATACCTTTCAAAAACTTGATGACGTTATCTCAAATCTATTTATGTCAATCCTGTTTGACATTTATAGAGTGCCCTGCTCCTTTATTAGTGATTTATTAATAATACACTAACCGATAAAAAAACTGGTCACCCTGCAATATTTCGCAAAATCGCTTTAAAAATTATTTATTTATCAAAGTGATTGTTATTTTAATTAGAGAAAAATATAATTTTTAAAGTGATTTTGCGAAATATTTCAAGAAGGCCTTTTGTGCCGGTCAGTATATAATATTTTTAATGATACGAATTACATTTTTGAAATTTTTATTTATTATTTATAATTTTTTTATTTATTCACGTCTCCTAGAAAGTTATCTTAAAAATTTATTAAATAACTTCAAGTTATCAAATGTGCAGCTAGACGCAACGTTACATATATTTGCAGTTTAATGCTACGTTTTTGTTTGTTACAAAATTTTATTATTGAGCTTGATGTATTTATCGTGGAACCCCATAAATGCGCTAGTGATTTTTTTTAGTATTGTTTATTTAACCATGAACAATTTACAACTGTCACACTAATGACGACATTTGTCTATCTGCTTTCTAATATAAAACTGATAAAATTAGTCTACATGTGATTATAATTTACTGACAAAAATGTTTAAGTTTATCAGTCAGGGAGGGTAGAAGATGCTTTTTTATAATAATTCATTATTCATAATTTTTACAAAAATTCCTTTAAATTCCATATTTCATTACGATCCGAAAGTAAGCTATACAAGAATTTGCCGAATGATTAATTTCATGTTTTGTCAACGCTTTCGTAACCATGTACTAGGATATGAAAAATTGGTCTAAAGTCATTTAGGTTTCAGAAATTCCGTTGCTTCTGAAGCGCAATCAAGCATCCAGTTGTACATGAAATTGTAAAAGGTTATAATTCAATTTTTTTCTGCATATTAAAACAAAAACTGAGTACTGTTTTACTGTGAAAATTACATAATCATGGCTCATTTAATCAATAATATTAATGATCAGTTATTAATTCTGTGCAAACACTTCTTGTTAAATGCGACGATTTTTATTTCAAAAATATTACAATCCAAACTTATTAGTACTACTTAGCAACGTAATACTACGTGTTATTGAAAGGTACGTACAAAATAAAATCGGCAATTGGTCTCGAAATATGTGTGCTAAAATTAAAAAAAAGTTCAGGTAAAAGTGTTCTCCTTCTAGAGATAAAAATTATTAAAATTTATGTCCAAATTCGTTGTATGCCTCTGATAAAAAGGTCATCTTTCGTTTCTATAGCAACAAAAGGGTCTCTTATTTTTTATTATTGTTACAGTTGCTAGGATTTACTAAAATAAATTAATTTTACCTATTTATCCTTCAGTTGCGTCTAAAAAGGTTGGATAGGGGTTAATTTTCCCCTTATATTTTGATAACACAAAATAAGTTTTTCAGGCTTCTTAGACTTCGCGAAGAACTAACTCAATTTTGTTGTACGTACCTTTCAATAACACCCTGTATATAAAATAACATAAGCTCTGATTTGAGGGTTACACTATAAAAGAGTTGATCCTAAAACAAGTACGAGTATATTATTAAGTTCTTCTTTTGAGATGTAGCACTTTTAAAAATTTTTTAACACACCTCAAATTATTTTTCCAAAACTGATTTTTTGTTATAATCAGGTGAACGTGAGTACTTACTAATTCAGTATCTGCATGCAAGGAAACTAATTATAATTACTTACAATCCACAAATATCGCACAAAAGTACGTAAAAGTGGAAAGTTTGTCTAAGTAACAAAACTAGTTATTTAGTCATTTATTAGTGACAAAGAATGACAACAAACTAATTAATATTTCAGTAAAATGTTAAAACTGTAACTTAATTCTTCGTAGCCGAAGTTTATGCAATAATTTTAATGGATGTCTAAAAATATACCTAACGGCAATAAATTACACCTACATTGAACCGAATAAAGGTGGTTTTAGATACCAATTCGAATAGTAAGTAGTTCTGTACTATATGATCAAGTGATTTTCGCTCGCGGGCTGTTATGAAGTAAATAAAATGTAGCGTGAATTAACCCATTAACTCACACACATATTAAATATTATTGCAGAAACAGTGAGTGCATATACCAATTGCTGTTATACCAAGAGAAATGAACATGTAATAATAATAATTACGAAAAGACAGAACACGCGTCATTTGAAAATACACATCATATATCATTTTTCTCCTTTTAAACAAACAATCTGGACTTATATGTACATATTATGATATGTATTATGCATCTGACATCTACTCATCTATGATCCGTAACTTTCCAACGAAACACCTACATATTTTAAATAATAGCCTTAAAGAAGTGATATATGCTACGTAATGAGCTACAAGGTTAAATTAAAAAATCCATAGAATTTAAAAGAAAGAATTGGACCAAAGTTATTTGAACCGGACTTCCGTCGCCCCTGAAGTACAAGCGAACAGCTTCTTTGAAAAATTATAAAATTTAATTTTGCGAATTTTATTTCTTTATAGTTACTTACCTCTATAAACTAAAATAAATATATATGTGGACTGCATAGGTAAAGAAGCTTGCTAGGCGTAAGTTACAAGTAAATTTTCCCCATTACAATTTTTTTATGACCTCATCAATATTTTAGCAAGGACACATATCAGTTTAAATAGGTTCAGTGTGCCATATTAACAATCACAGTGCCGTATACTCAATTTTCAGAAAAATGGGGTGAACCGTAAAAATTCGAACGCATTGATAAACCACAAGTATATTCGTAGTCTCATAGTATTTTGCATATTTTACATGCGGTTTTTTCGGCAAAATTTTGAGACAACATCTTCAATTTTTGAAAGGGGATTAAGGGATAAATTTTGGTTAACGATTTACCATTTACGATAACCTTAGGTAAAACGTTTGCAAGATTTCTTTTCGAAAAATCTGGATGTCTGGAGTAAAAACTCAATACGGATTCATAAACTACAAGTGCAGGAATATTGTTTTATAAAATTTTACTGGTGTAAATTTTGGAGATGATATTGGTGGGAGTCATCAGACAAATTTTTTATCGATACAGACGACAGACAGATGGAAACGGGAAACGTCGAGAAAACATGAAAGTAGCTCTTCGTCGGATGGACCCTATTACATACAATGTCTACTTCCTTATCTTACGCTCGGGAATTAAAAATCACAAAATCAAATTCTATAAGTTTTCGAAGAAGCAGGACTTGTTGTATTATACTTCAAGGGCGAAAAAAATTCTGTCGAAATAACTTTCGACCAATCGTTTTTTACTCATGTCATCTTTTTCTGTTACACTTTAGTAAATGATTATTTTATTATTAATAATTAATTGTGCAAATTATTGTGACGGTCCACCCTTGAAGAGAAACCGCAAAATACCGCAATAAGAAACTTCAGAACATAATTCTCTAACTCAAAGACTAAATTCGCATATTCACAAAAAGCAAGAAAATTGTGCATGTCTAATCGCGTATGTATTCCAACCACCAAATAATTGCAAAACCCATATTCGCATACCATTGAGAAGCACTCACTCAGTCAACCCTAGCTAAATACCACACCCAAGCAAAAGTTCCAAGATGGCGACAGCATGTGACGTTAACATGATAACAAGACAAAGAAGAATCCACAACGTTGGCACGTGATTCTAACGACATTCAATTAAAAGCACAGAGGAACCAACACCAAATAAATCACACCAAATTAACTACCAAAGGCGTTACACAATAACGCAACGCAAGATAAAAGACGCATAAAACAAACCAAATCTCACGCATTACCATCAATCTATTTTGCGACTTATCAGTCTGACGAAATTCTCGGAACAACGAAACTAAGACTTATAAAACCTCTAAATAAAGCCCAAAAGGATTGCATTCTTATCAACTAACCCAAATACGAATACCACGATGCAACACGTGCACTCATAAAGATGCCACCAAAGACATAATTAATGAGAAAAACGCTGT